GAAGAATGGGCAGCATCAGCCAGGGACAGATTTCGACGATGCTTCCTTCCATTTTTATCCACAGCTTCGTGCTTGGGGTGGCAGAGCCTAGCCGGGCCTAGCCCAAACCAGCAAGGAGGTGTGAAGGAGCGTCGAGGAGGGTTGGTTGCAGGATTCGACACGTGCAGGGCATTTGCATGGGCAGCGAACTGCTGTCGGTCTGTCCAGCGTAAAGCCAGCATGGGTGGCGCGTGTGCCTGTGCTGCGCAGTGTCCGGTTTGAGGCGACAAGCGAGGAGCTCAAGACCAAGCTGCAGTCCTCGGAGGAGGCTTTGCAGGAGAGTCGCATCAAGCAATCCGCACGACGGCTCGAACAGCATGCCATTCGCCTCCTGTCACGGATACCCCGCAGGACGCCAGGGCGAAGGCATTGCAGCATGCCCTTGCAGAAGAGCAGGTATGCCGTTGGGAGAAGGGTGGAGTGTGTCCAGTCGGGTCTTGTCTGTTCACGTGCGGTGTGATGTTGCTGACTATGCTGCAGGTGCAGGTGAAGTACAGCGAGACGGTTGCGGAAGCGCAGGTAGCAGCGCAGGCCTTGCAGGCAGGGCGGCATGTCGTGGGAACCTGGTGCATCACATTGAGTATGCACTGGTTTGTGCTTTACGTTCGGCAAAAGGCCGCGAACGAGGCATTGCAGTCCCAGGTGAAAGAGCTTCAGACGCAGGCCTCTGTTGTTTGCTGCCTGATTGTTGTTTGCGCAGTGTCATCCCGGAATTCTGCGCGGTCAGGTGGAAGCAAAGCAGCAAAAGCTCACGGCCGTATCGCAAACCTTCGAGGCCACAGTTGTTGTATACATATGCACAGATAAACACAGATATGTATGTATGTATGTGTGTATGTATGTATGTATGTATGTATGTATGTATGTATGGCTCAAGGCCGTGTCGGCTCAAGGCTCCTGAGCCCAGAGATAAAGCCCTGAACATCTTGGTGTGTGTTTCTGGGGCTTTTGGCAACTTCAGGCCGAAACTCAAAATCAGACAGACTGAGTGGGTGTACTCCCACGGCTCCTGTCCTGACCGGGGGCCTTCTCCTCTGCTCCTTAACCAGAGGGTCTACTCCCTCACTGCTTCGCTGGGAAAAGCGGGGGCGGGGAAGACAGGATGGCCTCCCACGGGCCAGATTCTGAAGCCACTGTCAGGGCAACGGCTTTGCAAGTGGATGATGATGAAGATGACGGTGTGCAGGAAGTTTGTGACGGGGGCTGATGCTGATGAGACTGATGAGAACAGTCTGTCCCGCGCACCTACTGTGCCATTTGGAGTGCCGGAGCCCCCACCTGGAAGCGGGGTGGGGACAGTCCTGACAGCGGTGGCACCCTCAGCTGACTTAGGGGCGCCCGCTTGGGCGAGAGACCAAGCAGTAGGCTCTGCACAGGACAGACGGCTGTCCCTGCCTCAGCAAGCCGTTCCACCTAAGAGGGAACCAATGGGAAGTGAGAAGCTCAGACAGCCCGTCAGACGCCCGAACGCGGCGGGCGGGTCAGAAGACCTGCTAGCTCACGCGGCGCGGGCCCAAGCTATCTTAGCTCGCACGGAGGAAAGCCCTCTCCATCAGGCGGGCCCAAGCCCGCAAGACCGAGAGGTTGCTGCAGCGGCCTTAGCTGCAGCTATGGAAGTGGACGCTAGGGGGAAGATGCCCCCTCCTTCGAGTGCTTTGGGCAGTCCGGCCAAACGCCACCGTCAGCAGGCGATACATCCCCCTGGTCTTAAGCCTGCCCAAGGTGCAGGGCCTCGGGCCGGAACCGGCCAAGCTCCAAGTCCGGCGCCTTCCTCAGCAGGAGGCTTTGTTGTGGACGATTTTCAGTTAGTGATAGGGGGGTATGCTGAGGCGCGTAGGGAGGAAATTGAAGCAGAAGTCAGATCGCTGTTTCAAGACGCCAATGCAATGCCATTGCTGAAGAACATTATAACTCCCTTCGTGAGGGCCAATGTATGCCGTGTGGAATTGCTGTATTTGGATGAAAGCCTACAGGCGAGAAGGAAGGTTCAGCAGGCAGTTCTCAATGGCCTGCGTAACCAACTGGACCGCCGACAAAAGAAATCCTCTATACCTGGGCAGGAGAATGCTGCCCTCTGGGTGTCCAGGAACCGCAGTTTGGACGAGAGAAATCGTCTCAGAGCCCTCCTTGGGCTACGCGACTTTTTGCTGAGGCATTCCGCCCCCAGCGATGTGGAGTTCGATTGGCGGGGGCGCCTGTGGCTACGCGGCCATCAGGTGCTCTTTCACACTAGCCGCGAAGAGCCATCCGCTGAGGCCTTAATGTTCCTCAGCTCCCGTGGGGACGAGACGGGCTGGTGGTGTTCAACACACACCATCGCCCGCCTTTCGGGCCTCTCCGAAGAGGAGGTCAGAGACGGCATCCTGGGCCGTTAGGGGTTGGGGCGGGAGCGTAGTAGTCCGACACGGAAGCCCAATGCACGCAGGCATCCTCCTACGGATAGCACCACGACACGAGGCACGCTACAGTCTGCCACGTGGAATTTACACGGTAAATCGCTTAGCGACCTACCTGCTGTTTTCGATCAGGTTGTAGATTTCCCCGAGATTCTTTTCCTTCAGGAAGTTGGAGGCTTCTCCAGCCTACCCGAAGGCCAAACAAGAACACTGGACTTCCAGTGTGGAGGACAATCCTATATTGCGCATGTACATAATCCCCCGAAGAGTTTCCACGCTGTTTGCATACTCATAAGCTGTACACTTGCACCCACCAAGCCTGTTTTTACGCCGTTACTGGTTGGCCTTGTTGCAGATGTTAGACTGTCATCGCGGAGGATGTTACTAGGAACTGTTCACTTGCCCTATAGTCAAAGAGCCGATGCTGAAGACGTCTGGTTACAGACACTAGAAACCTTGACGCACTGTTTTTTCCTTTTTCCCCCCTGCGGGACGATAGTAATTGGATGTGACCTCAACCAATCGCTGCACACCCAGGTGGATGCTTTTGCACCTTTAGGACAGCTACGCCTTCTTCTTTCGAGATTTGTCCTTACTCATACACCGTTCCTTGGGGACACCTGGCACGCCAGAGGGCTGGGTGCACCCATTGATTGGATCTTGTATAGGAGCCACCAAGGTCATCCTAAGGTCCACAAAAGGGATGATGTCCGTCTGGCCTTACCCTCGGACCATGATATGGTCGTGGCCACATTTACGGCCCTAGAGCGCACTGCGGTACCCAGATGCAGACCGCTTGCTAATTGTGGGCGCTGGGCTTTTGACAGCGCGCGCTGGCGAGAGCTCATTCAAGGGCTCCCAGAGTGTGCAGATGTCGACCAGCTGGAGACCAGCTTTTCTCAAGTCCGCTATCGCACTAAGGCTCCTCGCTACCGTGATAGCGAAGAGATTAAGGAGCTGATCAGGCGCCGAAAAATTGCGTCGGACCCCACGGTTAGGCAGGCCTTAGTCACAGAGATCGCCCAGCTTAGGGCGAGAGACCAAGCTGCCTTCAAGCAATCACAGCTAGAGAGGGCCAAGAGCGGAGATCACGCTGCGATCGCACAACTACGTCGCAGCGCGACCCAGACAAGGTTGTCAGGGTCGTACATCCAGGATAGAGGGGGGCAAACTGAAGCCTCCAAAGAACTGCAGGATTTTTACAGGGACAAGTACGATGCTGAAGGACCAGGTGTGAACCAGGGCAAGGCGGAGAAACTTGCTGAGAAACACTCGCACGTCCCCGTTACTCCTTTCCTGAAAGAAGAGCTGCTGTCTGCGTTGGCTCATACGGCCAAAGGGACGTCAGCGGGAGCAGACAGTATCACATATGAAGCCCT